GCCTCCTAAGAAACACTGCTTTGCCACAAATATTTCTGGACTTCTTGCCCAAAGCCTTTGCATCGGCTCTGTGTACATATTCTTAGAAACTAAAGGTAACTGACACAAAAGCATCCATCCCCCAACACACACACACACACACACACANACACACACACACACACACACACACACACACACACACACACACACACGCGCGCGCACACACGCACGCACGCACGCACGCTGCAGGACGGCCCTCGGAGATGTCAGCCCAGCCAGAAGCAAGGGGACGAGAGGGCGTGTTTCACCCCAACTGCTCTTTACCTGTTTTACCACCTTCCAGAACTGCACCCCAGGCTTTTCTTCTCAGGGGTTCCCTATCAGATGTTAAAAGGAGCCACCCCCACAAGTTATGGCTTTTCTGAGCTACCCACAAGGCAAGCTCAAAGGGGCACCACGAGCATTCAGTCCCTTTTCCGCCTTTCTCTTAGTTACTGTTTATATAACCTGCTTTACTGCTGAACTCTGTGAACCAACTCTTTCAGACATCTTCAAGTTTCCATTATAATTTGAGAGATTTTATATTCAACTGGGGCAGACGTATAGCTCCTCTGCTTTCCCCTATAAACACATATTCCGTCTTCCTTCACCCAAGAACCACTATTTAAAAGGGAGGAAGAAAGGGGCCTGGGGAGGAAAAAGTCCTTTTGTAAAAGAATCCCTTTGAGGTCTGAATATTACCATCCCTTACGGCTCCTACAGCACAAACACATGGCAGGGGCATGTACCTGCTGTCGTGGGCACGGCTGATGGGGGAGCATGCTGGAACCTCACAATTCCACAGGCCAGCGGCCTTCCCAGAGTGAGGAACTTGTGTGTTCCTACCTGTCCGAGATTTTGTTAGTGTCTGGCGGCAGTTACGCCGTTTTTCCCTCTTCAGCTGTGAACGGGCTGCCCCACACCGGGTCTCTCTCCGTCCAGCTCTGCAGACCCAGCCTGGCTCTCCAGCCCTTCTGCTTCACAGCAGACTCCTGAGCTCTCCCGTACTCCCCCCCGGGGCCTCTCCCAGCATTTGGGGGGCCTCTCCCAGCATTTGGAAGACCTCTCCGCAGCACCCTCCTTCCCAGAAGTGCTGGGCAACATCCGTGACGAAAGGAACAAGGGTCCTGGTCTATAGCCCCAGCTTTTCTGGGATAGGGACTGAAAGCGTTTACCTTCTTGTAGTCCTCGGCCTCCCATTCCAGACAGACCCCAGACACACCCGCACAGCATCCCGCTGCGCACAGACACACAGCACGTGAGGACCTGGCTGCACGTCTATGCTGGGAATGCAAGGTTTGTTTAACATCAGAAAATCAGTCAGTCCTGATGGAAGAACACACCTCCAAAGAAAGTCTTCTCAAAAAGGAAAACATCAAATCTGAGTGTGGTCAAGGCTTTAGATTGCAACCGTCAACTGACTGGAAAAACAGATCAGAGCGACATTTTCCAGGACACCATGGGGACGCAATCAGCAAGGTCCCTACCGGGGAACTCCGAAGGGCATGTTCTTCCCGCCCCCACACAGCTTTAAAGAGGAAGGAGACAAGAGTCAAAACCTATAGATTAAAAGAGACCTAATAGATTATCAATCAGTTACAATCTGCAGACCTTCTTTGGATCCTGATACAAGCAAACTGGGAAAGAAAACATGACATTTTCTTTTCTTTCAATCAGTAATTTTATTTCATTACTTTATAGTTGATATACAATATTATATTGGCTTCAAGACATTTATGGCATTTCTAAGATAATCGAGAAATCAGAACAATGCACATTTGCTGGAATTAAGGAACTGTTGTATTTCTAGATGTGACAATGGTACTATGTTTAGCTATTTTTTTAAATTCCGTATCTTTTAAAGATACATATGAAATACTTAGAAATGAATTACTATGACTGATATTTGCCACAAAATTATCTGGGAAGGGAGACTACACGGGTTGGGGGGCGGATGAAGTAAACAGACATGAATGGATAATCGTAAAAGCGGGAGTGTTAGATACATAGTAATTCTTTATATTCTTCTATCTTTGTACATGTTTGAAATTCCCCTTAGACAATAAATCATGTAGTACTCCCGGTTAACAGAATAAGGGGAAATCATGTAATCATTTCACCTGATAAGGCAAAAACAGCTGGTGATGTTAGGGCCCTGGACTGAGAGTGGGCAGCTCCGGTGTAGTCCTGGCTCTGCTGTGTGACACCAGGCCAGGCCCTGCTGCTGGGCCCAACTTCCTCACCTTTGAGACAATGCAGTTAAGCTACATGTTTTTTTTTTCCAACTATTTATTGAAAAGCTTTTAAATATGAGAAATGCCCAAATTAGCTTTAAGTCCTGCGATTAGATTTCTCAACATCTTCTCATGCATCTTGAACCTCAACTTCCTCCTTATGATCCTGATTCTGAATCTACCCTTGGAGGGTTGAGAATCATTCTCCTTAATGAATATATAAGCAAAATACAGGATCAGACAGCTTCCTTATTTGTTATTTGTAAATATTACCTCTCCATGCTATGCTCCTGTCCTTTGTTCTTTTTGATCCAAAACTACTGTAAGAAAAATTTTGACTCACTATTCTGTGGCTATAGGAACTGTAACATGCACATTCCTTATGTGCAAGCATCATGATCCCGAGGAAATCAGTCCTTCCGACGGCGTCCACGCTTCCCCACCTGCAGAATGGGGATGATAACAGCGCCCACTTCATAGACTCACGAGGATCAAATAAGCTAAAATACACAAAGCATTTAGAACAGCACTGCAAATACTTAACAAATGTGACTTATCATGTTAACGACATTCCGGGCTACAAGCAAATATTACTGCATATAATGCAACCCATGAATCTCTAACTTGGGAGCTTATTAAAACATCATAAATCCTGATGTTATATTGAGGTTATACTGGACAAACCGAGAAAATAAATAAATAAATAACCTGATGCCCAGGCCACATCCCAGACCAATCACATCACAACCTCCAGAGGTGGACCCCAGTACTTTCTAAAGTTTTCCAGATGAACCCAAGCATGCAGACAAGTTTAAGAACCACTGACCTAAACTACATAGATAAGGAATAAGCAAGTAAGCAGCAGCTAGAACACTTGAGAGCTGAGTTTTTAAGTTGGGTTTGGAAGGAAGAGTGGTGCCTAACTCCAAGTTTTATAATACTTTTCTATTAAAAACTGGTACCAGAGATCAAAGCTGGCACTAAATTTTGTAGGTCCTAAAAGCAGGTCTCCTGAACTCAAGTGGGGAGCAAATAATTAAGGAGAAATACATAGTGTGACTAGTCATACAGGATTAAAATATATCTATTCAGATAAAGAAAGCAAAAGGCTTATGACTTATTACTTTTAAGACAACCTAATATTTAAAATCAAAGTCTGAAAGACAACAATCTCTCTGTGCTGCAAGAATTTAATTACCTGGAGAGCCAGCCAGGAAGAGGGGACCAAACAACACAAAACACAAAACGCCCTGAGGAAGATCTGCTCTCTTATGTTCCACACAGTACCTGGCACAATGGGGCACATGTCCTAAAAAAACAACGTAAGTCATAATGCTAGAACTGGGCAAGGGCTGACTCATGGGTCAGCTGCTCCACCTTGCAGAATCCTCACGCTCACCACCACCTGCACAGTTTCGGCAGTCTGGCAGGTGCGTGGCGCTGGCTGCTCAGTCACTTGGACTATAAACAAAAGGTACACAGAGGTCTCCTCTTGAGGATCAGACACAGGTAAGATTTATTTTAACAAAAAGCTGTATGAAATAAGGAAAGCCTTGTGTGGGTGCTGTTCGTTTTCCCAGCACTAGCTCACAAAATAATTGAGGTTAAGTCCTCACCACTGGGGACGGTTGCCGGTTGGTGTCGGTTGCCTTCCCAAAATGCCTTTTCAGATACCTGTTGAGTATCCTTCCGCCCAAAGACTGAGACGCTGGGGTGTGAGGGGCAGTTCCTACGTTCTAAGAACAGAAGTCAGAGCTGCAGCCACTATAACAGGGAATTGAACCAGGGAGGGGGGGTCTGGGTAACAGCTGCCCTGGTAACTCCTTGTCTAAAATGTGAACTAGACAGAACTTCAAAGCTGCATTTATAAAAGCACATTAATAACAAAAGACCAGAAGAAATGAAAATTTATAATAAGCAGGCACATTTTGGTATTCTTAATTGGCTCTTCTTTATCTTTTTATTAATGTTTAAACCAGAATTTCCAGCCTCCTTCATTAATCTGTTGACAGATTATTAGTGTACGATCTTTTGTTTAAATGTTTTATCTGCGGCCCACTCCACACAGTCAGTCACTATTTTCAGGGCACAGTTGGACTTTCAAAGACTAGGGCTCCTTTAAGCAGAAAACATGCCTCCCCAAAAAAGTGCAATTCATAAAAACTGGTCACAATTCTGTGGCTACAGCCGTCAACTTTTGTGGCTCTTCGGCCTGTAATGAGCATATATGCACACAGTTTCCAAACAAGAAAAACAATTTAACGTTAAGTCCTACAAAATACGATGATAAAGTTTGCCAACGCTTGAAGAAAAGCACTAATAACCTTAACGAAGACAAAACACAAACCAAAAACAAAACGAAGAAATGCTGTAAACACCAAGAGCTTTTTAAATATACGTAATAATCCTGCTCCAAACAACAAGGCACGTACCGGCTTGCTCGCTGACCGCCATGTCAGCCAAAGTTCTGCCCACGGCGCGCGGCGCGACGGCGGCACCCCCCGCTCCGTCAGGCCCCAGGGGCCGGCGAGACACGGGCGGCCTGGGGGCCGGGGCGAGGCGCCCCTCGCGCGGAGGCCGCTCCGCTCCCCAACCCCCGCGCCCCAGGCGGGCCTGCCCGGGGACCCCCCTCCCGGGGCGCGGCTGCCGCTGCGTGGGACCCGCGGGCGTCCCCGAGGCGCGGCCCGGGCCTGCCGCCCCTCGCGGCCACCCCTCCCGGCCCTCCTCTGCGGGAACCCCGCTCACCCGGCTCGGCGCAGCAGCCCCGCACTCACTGCCCCTCTCGCGGCCGAGCTGACAGCCGGGGCCGGCGAGGGCGCGGCGGAGAGGAGGGAGGAGCGCCCTGCGTCCCGGCCTCCGCGCCGCCATGGCCGCAGCGACCCGCTCCCGCGACGCACGGCAGAGTCGCGCCGGCGCGAGGGGGCTGCCTTACGGCACGGTCGCAAAGCCGGCGGCTGGGAGGAGAACTGCGCGGCCAGGCGTGCGCTCTCCCGCGTCGGACGCGTGCGCGGCGGCGGGCGGCCGGACCTCGCAGCGGCCGCACCCCGGTCACGAGCGTTCCAGGCCTCGAGCAAGGCCGCTAGCGGCGGGGTCGGGGTGCGGCGCCCGGGAACGTTTCTCCAGGGCGGCAGCCGCGGAATTACGTGCGTCGGCGGCGGGCTCGCCATGGCGCGGGCGACACAGGTGAGCGCGGCGGCGACGGAGACCCCCCGTTCCGCGGGCGGCGCGGCCCCGGAGCTCCCTGCGCCCCGCCCCGCCCCGCCGCGCGCGGCCGCCCCCTTCCCCGCGGGCCATTGTGACCTCAGGGCCGGTGGGCGCGTCGAGGGGCCCGGGCGGGACTCCCGGAGCGACCGCTGCGGCCAGTAGCCCCGCCGCCGCCGGCCCCCTCGCCGGCCGCCCCCGCCCGGGCCCAGCCGCGAGCGGCGAGAGGGATGCCGCTGGGGCCCCGCCCTGGCGCCGCTTCTCCTGAAGGGCCGAGCGCCCACCTCGCCGCCGCAGCCGCGGGAAGCCGGCGCCCGAGCAGCCTGGACCTCGTCCGGGTGAAGCGCCGGGAGGGAAGGGCCAGAGGCGGAGGGGAGGCGAGGCGGCGCGCCCTGCGTGGGCCTCCGCCGCGTGTACTCGGTCCGGGCACCCACAGGGGTGGGTTTCGGCCGATTATTCACCCCGCGCCCCCCCTCCCCCAGTCAGCCGTTCGAAGGAAACCAAGAGCATGAGCAGAAAGTCGCGGAGCCATTCTGGACTCCTAACGGGAGTTGCCCCTCGGTGCGGGACGCTGGCGGGAGGGGAGCGCGGCGAGGCCTGGGCACGTACGAGGCCGCGGAGCCCGAGGCGGCGGCCGGGCCTCGAGCGGGCCTCGGCCGGGGAGGTTTCTGCCTCCGCAGGGACCATCTGAGGTGCCGGAAGTGGGCGGAGAAACGAGTTCTGTAGAAACACATACAGGAACGGAGAGGAGCGCAGAAACGGAAGCTTTCGGAGGTGTCTGCGAACCGCCGGCATTTGTCTCGCTTAGAGCTACTTTTTCCTGGAGAGACGCATAGCTCTTTAGGGCCAGTGGGCCGCTGAGGTGGTGCCTGAGCAGAATGTCTCGCATTCCCCCAAAGGGCCCTGCTGGTGCCAAAGAGCAGCTCCAGTGTTCGCACCCAAGAGACTTAGGCTCTTTCCACGTTGATAGTCACCTCGTGTTGTGCTTGTGAAGCGTTTGCTGCTCTTCCATTGAAGAAACTGGAAATGCACAGGCGCAGAGCTGCAGCTCATTGCGGCCCTGCGGTCACCCTGTTCTTAATCGCTGCTGTGTTAGGTGTACTGAGGAGAGGGGGTTGATGAGTCACGCCTCTTTCCTTCCTGAGTGTGACTTGTTTGGCTTGCAAAATGACAAACCCTGTTTCTAAACATATCTTTTTAAAGTGAGAATGTTAGAAGAAGTTAATATATGATTGCCCTTCTGTAGAGACTTTGTGGTGTAATGAACTGTCCTTGTCATCTTTCAGTGCTTGTGAAACTGAACACAGCAACAGTATGGATATGGGCAACCAACATCCTTCTATTACTAGGCTTCAGGAAATCCAAAAGGAAGTAAAAAGTATAGAACAGCAAGTCATTGGCTTCAGTGGTCTGTCAGATGACAAGAATTACAAGAAACTGGAGAGGATTCTGACAAAACAACTTTTTGAAATAGACTCTGTAGATACTGAAGGGAAAGGAGAAGTCCAGCAAGCCAGGAAGAGAGCAGCGCAAGAGACAGAGCGGCTTCTCAAAGAGCTGGAGCAGAATGCGAACCACCCACACCGGATCGAAATACAGAACATCTTTAAAGAAGCCCAGTCCCTCGTGAAGGAAAACATCGTGCCATTTTATACCGGCGGCAACTGTGTAACTGATGAATTTGAAGAAGCCATCCAAGACATCATTCTGAGGCTGACACATGTTAAAACTGGAGGGAAGATCTCCTTGCGCAGAGCAAGGTATCACACTTTGACCAAACTCTGTGCGGTGCAGGAGATTATCGAAGACTGCGTGAAGGGGCAGCCTTCCCTGCCGCTCTCGGAGGACGCGCACCCTGCAGTTGCCAGAATCAACTCTGTGATGTGTGAAGTGAACAGAGCCAGAGGCACCCTGATCGCACTGCTCACGGGAGTGAGCAGCAACGAGACCTGCAGGCACCTCTCTTGTGTGCTCTCAGGGCTGATGGCCGATCTGGACGCGTTAGATGTGTGCGGACACACAGAAATCAGAAATTACCGAAGGGAGGTAGTAGAGGATATTAACAAATTACTGAAATACTTGGATTTAGAAGAGGAAGCAGATACTACCTACGCATTTGACCTGGGACAGAATCATTCCATTTTAAAAATAGAAAAGGTCCTCAAGAGAATGAGAGAAATAAAAAATGAACTTATTCAAGCACAAAGTCCTGAATTGTACCCGAGCTCCAAAACAGAATTGCAGGGTTTGATTGGACAGTTGGATGAGGTAAGTGTTGAAAAGAACCCGTGCATCCGGGAAGCCAGGAGACGAGCAGTGATTGAAGTGCAGACCCTTACCACTTACATCGACCTGAAGGAAGCCCTCGAGAAAAGGAAGCTGTGTGCTTGCGACGAGCACCCATCACATAAGGCGGTCTGGAACATTCTTGGAAACCTGTCCGAGATCCAGGGAGAAGTTCTTTCTTTTGATGGAGACCGAACCGATAAGAACTATGTCCGGCTGGAAGAGCTGCTCACCAAGCAGCTGCTGGCCCTGGATGCTGTCGACCCACAGGGGGAGGAGCGGAGTAAAGCCGCCCGGAAGCAGGCGGTGAAGCTCGCGCAGAACGTCCTCGGCTACCTCGACCTGAAGTCCGATGGGTGGGAGTACTGAGCCGCGGCGCTCTCGGGGTGGCGGCTCTGTTCTGCGCTTTACATGTGCTTCTGTGTATTTGTAGAGGGCTTTCAGGGCATCGAGCCTAAATGTGATGGATACGTGATAGTTCGATCAGTATTATGGTTTAAGCAAGTTGGTATTCAGTATCTTTCTTTTGATACTGCGGAACAGATATTATAGCACATTAACTTTTCCATTTGGATCATTATCTGTATGTTGTGTGGGGTTTTGTTTTTTTTTTTAATCATAAAATGGAATGGGCAGCTTTTGTAATTTTTAAGTGGGCTGTGCAAGCATTAAAATGCATATATTTTAGAATCTAGGAGTAGACATGACCTCACGTGATACTAGGACTGTCGTGAGGGAGGGGAACACCTCGGTCAGGCGGACGTGGGGCCCACGCACACGACCTGCTTCATGCCGCCGGCGGAGGCGGAGAGCCCAGCTCTCACCCGCGAGGTTGGTCCTGCCCGACCACAGGCCGTCCGTCGTTCCTGTTCCGGTGGTCTGCACTTTCACGAACAGTTTTTGTGTGAAAATCAGTGTCTGTATTAACTCCCAACTCTGCGTTTAGAGGGAGGAATCTTATTTTTATGTGGGACATTAAGAAAATTATGAAAATTAGCAGCAAAGAAACCACCGAGACTGCACTGAAGAAGGGGTGAAACACCAGCTGACAGCCTCAAGTTGTTTTTGTTTGTAAAATCTGAACTTACAATTCCTTAGTAATTAGTAAGGATGGGAACTTGGAAATGAAGTTAATGAACCCTTAAAAAAAAAAAAGACGTTGTATCTGTAGTAGGATAATGAAAATTGGAGATTAGTTACCAATGTCAGGTTATGCTAAACAGGAACAAAAATGTCTGAAATGTGGCATATGATGGGCTTCTGTCATTCAAGGGTGTTAACGGACAAAGCGAACACACTGGTGCCGCTCTGCAGTGAGGAGGGCCGAAGCCGCCCCAGCCCCCAGGCCCAGGTCTTCGTGGCTTGCCGGAGGAGTCGGCGGGCAGCTGCTGGCGTCCTCAGCGTCCCTCTGGGACCAAGCCTAAGCAGCGAGGGCTGCCGGGCTCCTGCTGTGCCGCGGGCTCACGGGGGCGTCGCCTGCGCCTGAGAGCTGGCACAGGCCATCAGTGCAGCGTTTCTTCTACTAAAGGGTATGCATGTTTCTGTAAATATTTTCGGGAAATTCAATTTTACGGTTGCCTGTTAATGTGAAAAAAGAATGTCCCCGATTTCTGAAGTGCCTTGATACCGTGTTGGTCCCAGGACTGTAACTACCAGATTCCTCTCCCATCATGACTCGCACAAATCACTAGAGTATGTCTTTTGAACTCTGTAGTAATGTTTTCTTCCTGAGATGCGAATTTGCATAAACTGCTGAAAGTAAGATAAAGGAATAACCCTGGCATCTGAAAGACGGTAAAAGTGTGGCCCTAAACACATATTCACTTTGTCCCAGAACCGCCTGATAATTAAGAGCCCTTGCTATATCTTTGCTACCAGAAGTGTTCTAGGTGCACTGGATAGTGGGGTTGGGGGGCAGTTGGACTTTGGGCAGTGAGCCCCCCCCCATCTGTACATCCAGCCCCCACAGCTGGGGCCTCTCTCAGTGCACGTCCTTGTGGCCAAAGTCACATTGGGATTCGTTTTCTGTACCGTAATTTTAGGGTGCTCTCCAAGTCCTGAAGGGTTCTGATTCAAGCACTGCCTCAGTCATACAGCTGGGAGGTCAAAGCTGTGCTGACCTCAGGCCTGTCCCGCAGGCTCTACTTCATTCTCCACTTCAGATTTGAAAGTCATTTCCTTTAGAAGTATCCATTCTTCGCAAACAGGTCTTCCGCGACTACAAAGATGCCCTTACTGCCATCTGCCAGCCCTGTGAGCTGGGGCTAGACCCCTCCTCCCCCGTCGGCTGGATTGCTCATTGATACCTTGGTCATCAAGATGATCAAATCAGCCTTGAGTGACTGGAAAGACCTGACATTTTCAGGCTGTTCCAGTGCCCTGTACCTGCTTGCTCTACCCCGTGATGAGCCCT